AATTCTAATGTAATCTCTCAGGGCACTTTCTAACCAATATCTGACCACTTCTAACTGGATTCCGGTCACGTGCATGCCATGTGTAATACTTAATAAGATTAATTTTGTTGCAAAAAGTGGGTACCAGATTAAAAGTTGTGTTAAATAAAATTACAAAAAAGAGTAGTTGGAATAGAGCTTTCATTTTCTACATTGATATAGTGTTTTTGCTCAAGCAAAATTGGTACAAGTAAGTCAGAAGAGAGTATACACATTGGACTAGGTCACCACTACTTGTGCCCAAACATCGCCAAAATAGTCGTACAATTCTTGCAGTGCTTGTGATCATCGGAACATAGGCAAAGCAGATTGCACATCGAAATAGAGTATTTCATTTGGCTCTTGGAATGGTGGTCGTCGAACCTAGAAAATAGAGGTTATTTCTTGAGTCACATCGTCCACCAAGATCAACACAAGAATGTCAACCTAGTGGAGCGACTCTTTTCCATTGCACTACGGGCCAATCTAACAAGAACAGGTAGTATAGGAATGATGGTTCTAATTTTAGTAATCTCCACTTGCTAATCTTAATTAGAAGAGAAAATTTTCACAAAGGCAAAGTGGTTCATCGCTACTACGCCTAAGATTTGAACAACTCGGTTTGTGGTCGCAGCATATGTCGACGAAGAATGTGATTGAGTACAATTGGTACAGACCTCGCTCTTCGGAAGAACTAAGAACTTCTTGGTGATGAGATTTAACCTAATTTTATTATGTTCATATGAAATCTGAAAAAAAGCAATAGTTAGATAGAGGCAACCAGCACAGAATAATTCTGACTAGATCATGGCAGAATATATAGCGGTGCTTAATTATGTGCTAAGGTTAAGCATCGAATGTGTTCAAACTTGAAAGGACGAGTAAAATGACCAAACGCTTTGTCATGGCAAGCAGGGTCAGCAGACTTGTGTCTGGGGTCTGGGGACCATTATTTGGCATTGGCGATGGTAGGCTGTGAAGTTCCAAGCCCACTTGTGCCCCATCCTTGATATGCTCGCCACTGTTTGGTTGCAGAGAAAAGAAAAGAAAACCATCTCTGTACGGCGACTGAGCAAGTCCCAGATCTGGAAAATGGTCCCACAGTTTTTTCTCTTATGATTTCCAGTCAAGCATTGGCGTGTGCCCTCTTCATGTTTCTGTCAAATTTAATCACAGATGAATTGTCTACAGATAATATTAGAATCGTTATTAGAGTTTGTTATTATGTTTCATTACATTTTAATAATGTGTTAAATTTGTAAATAAATAAAAATATTTTAAAATTTATTAAAATTAATAATAATTAATTTATCAAATCAATAAATTATGTTATTAAAATTATGTCATATTAACTTGAGCCTGTACCATGAGCTGAGGGCAAGGGTTTGGATTTCTCCCTTAGTTAGCTTGTAATAGTTCTGTCAAATGGTGGTAAGGGAGTTTTTACTCCTCCAGAAAATTCTCTGTAATTAATTTTTCTTCTTTAGTGTTTTTACTGTTAATCAATAGCAGAGCTTGATTAAAATTTTTGAGGGAACTAAAGTATATAAGTATAAAAATTCAAAAACAAATATATATATGTTAAATTATATTTTTCTTACTTTCATATAAACATACTATATAAGTTTTTATTATTTTTAAATAAACATATTTAACTATTTATAGTAAGGAAACGATACCTAGATTCAAAGATAATAAGATAAAAACAAAGGAAGGCAAGTGAAAGACCAAATTTGATAAAGTGAGTATGAAGAGTAAACTAGTAGCATGTTACTACCTGTTTGTTGGGTGTCATTTATTACCCTTTATTTATTTTTAAACACTATTTTTGTATAATGTATGTTTCAAATTCTTGAAAATTCATTCACTATTTAAAATTAAAAGAACCTTCTAATAATATATTTATTTTATTTTAAACCCTCAATTGATTCCCTTAATCTTGAACTTATTTTAATTTTATCTGTAAATTCTAATTTATTTATATAAATCTTTCAATAGGTACAAAATTTAAAAATTAAGGGGACTATTGTAAACACTATTAAGGCAAAAAAAATTTCCTTGGGGAACCATGCTCCCCTCCCGCTCCCAAAAAGCTCCACGATTACCACTAATGTAACAAAAAAAGAGATGTTATACCCTATTATATTTATATTTCTTTTATTGAACTTATCTTATCTGAACTTGTGGTATTTAAAACTGTCACTCTAAATAAGACTAGCAAACCCTTGTGATGTATGAATGAGTATACCAGATTCTACTGGTAGAAAAAGAAATTAGGGTTTTATTGTTCATTTTACTTTCTTTTGAGGGTAAGCAATAAACGTTTATCAAGGAATAAATAAACGGATAAAACATAACCATAGGTCAATTCTGATGAAACATACGTACCTAATTCCATCCCCGTATTTAAGCTTGCGGGTCATATTTCTATACTTGGAATTCAATCGTATGTGCACATGTGATTGAAATGTCATCTCTCTTATGCTTCAGTTTGCAATCCACAAACCACTGAAGTCAAGTGCTGCAGGGGGGCTTTCACACTTCCCACAGCTTTCATCATCCTCACTGACCACGACTGTTCTTGTCCCCACCCTTCTCGAGATTTGATTAGATTTTTTTTTTTTTTTTTGCCAGATTTATGGACTCAATCTATTTTCCTTCAACATTTAACAACCAAAGTTCCCTTCATTTTTACGCTCTATTTGTAGCCTTCGTTGTGCTTATTTTCATGAGACCATTCGAGCCGTTTGCCACAAATTTCCCAGCTGAACGACAGACAGATTGGGGTGGTAATATACTTGGAGAACTGGTAGTCTCAGTTGGAGAAACCCCTAATCATGGAAGAAATTGAAAACCCACACTTAAGATCCACCCTTTCAAAACTGAGAGAGAGAGAGAGAGAGAGATGAGAGATAGATTTCTACACGTTTATGCTTCCTAACTGGCATTTGAATTTTTGGGCGTCAGTTCTTGGATCAACACTTCAACTTGCCGCCGTGCAAAATCTCTCTGCCGGAAAGTATGTGTGGTCCTTGTCAACCCCTTCTTTAGTTGGTGTTGAAAGAAGATGTATTACTGGTCCCAAGCAGCTACCACACACACATCAACATATATAAATTTTAGAAGCCCATTGATTATTTTGTCTCCAATTCATCATATATGCAAATTGTTTTACATCATGTCTGTAACTGATGTTATAGATTGCAAGCTTCAATGGTAAACGGGGTTAGGCTTAATTTAGTTTGATGCCCTCTATATTGGTTTGTGGAAAAGTCATCTTGTGGCTCAAAAAAAGACAATCATATGTGGACAAATTTGCATAAGTTTTCTTTTTTCTTTTCTTTTCTTTTCTTTTTTAAAAACAAGGGAATGTTCATTGATAAGTTAGTCTAGCAAAAGCTGAAAGCCAAGTTTACATATCATTTCACCAGTTAAAACTGAAAGTTGAGTTGATGCCAAGGCTAAAGATATCAGATTGAATACATAACATGGTTTGAAGTTGTGGTTTAATTATATGCATCGATTGAGACAAATTTAATCTTGTAATTCTCAATCTCAAAAGTTAATATATGGGACGAGGATGATTATTCATTTAAAAAATCGACATGAGATATTTTAATATATATGCATACGATATAAGTTAACCATTTTTCATCGCAACTAATAAAAGTTGAAAGTTAAGCTGATGCCAAGGCCAAAGATATGGTGAGAAGCAAGCTTGAATACACAAAAGATGGTTGGACTTCTAGCTTAATTTGCATTGGTTGGACCAAAATTTTGATCTTGTAACTGAAAAATAGTTGAAGCAGAGATACTCTTAAAACGGACAAAAGAACAATATTCAAAGGCATTAGTTCTAATCGCACAGTTTGACATCAGTCCTTGGCAGCTAGTAAGCGTGCAATTGTGTACCCATGTGAAGGTGGGAATTCAATCACAAACTTTGTAGCTGTCGAAAAAGCATTTGGCGCAACTTTTGAAATTGGGCAAAATTGGTCCCCCCCCAGGACAACCACCCCCCTCCCCCCACCCCAAAAAATTTCCCCTTATCCAAATTTATCCCAAACATGAATCATGCTTCATACAAAACATAACGATTAATGCACAAGATTGATCAACTAGTTGATGCAATTAAAACTCGACCAGCGTGACAAGGAAATGATAAGGTTTTGACTAGCACATTTCCTCTGACAGATGCGGCCACGTGGCACTCTATGCTCCTTTGCTTTTTCTTTAATCTATTTTTTTCCGTGGTCGGTTGAATTCTGAGCATCTTCTTCTTCTCTTTCTTTCTCTTATGTAAAAGGGTTCCTCAATAAGTTCATTCTCTGCTGTGAAAGTGAGTTTTCTCCCTTAGTGTATGCCCTATGCAAAGTAGTTAGTTCTTGGAGTACCAAATTCAGGAAATATCAGTCACCAAAAATTAGTTCAACAGTATATACCTTTAATTCTCTTCAGTAATTTGCTCTCAAGGACCAAGATCTGCAAAAAGCAGCATAAAGCCTTTCTCCTCAGGTAAGTTTGCAATTTATGCTTCGCTTATATCGTCAACAGTACATGTAAATCTTTTTCTGGGTTAGCTAGATCATGAATTCATGATGATTTTAATAATCATTATCTTGAGAATGTTTCATTTACAAATATATATGTATAGAGAGAGAGCATAAACTGGATGTTGGACGATTTTGTTTTCCAACGTTTTTACTTTTCTAGTGTGGTGATATGAATTTTCTATGAGGGATGCGGGCTTTGATCAATTAACATAAGTGTTTCTGAGAAGTAGGGTTTTTTTTTTTTTTTGTTTCGTGGTTTTGCATCAAATCTCCCTATTTATATATATTTTTCTCCTTTTTCCATGAAGGCAGAAAGCAGACAGGAACTGCGAGAGAGGAAAACAATACCTAAGAAAACTGAAAAAGGCAACCTAAGGCAACCCACAGTTTTTGTTTGCTGCTTTTGTTGCAGATGATGAGAGGCATAAGATGATCACAACAACTTCAAAAGAATTATCAGATTTCTCATCAAAGCAAGAAGGCAAAACCACAATTGAAGACAAGAATAACAATAATAGTAAGCCCTTCTCTTCTTCTAGCTCAACACCATGGTCAAGGCTCAAAGATCCGCGAATCGTCCGAGTCTCTAAGGCTTTTGGAGGCAAAGACAGGCACAGCAAAGTGTGTACTGTGAGAGGATTGAGGGATAGAAGAGTAAGACTCTCTGTGCCAACTGCTATTCAATTGTATGATCTTCAAGACAGGCTAGGGCTTAACCAACCAAGCAAGGTGGTTGATTGGCTCCTGAAAGTTGCTAAACATGAAATTGATGAACTGCCTCCTCTCCCTTTTTCACCATTAAGCTTTGTCCAATACCACCAACAATTTCCACCTAATAACAATCAAGGGCTTTGTACTTCTCAATCTCATAGAGAAGGGCTCAAGATCAACACAGGAGTTGGTGAGAAAGAGAATTGGAATCAAAAAAGTAAAGGAGGAGAAGAGAAAGAAGAAGAAGAAGAGAGGGAAGGTGCAAGTGGTTGTTCATCAATTTGCAACTTTTTCCCAGGTTTGCACAACAATATTAATGCTATCCCACACAATTACTTCCAACCCTCAATTTTCTCTTTCTCTTCCATGGATGATCCACAGAACTTGAATTTTGCTCAATTGTCCTCGGCCATGTCTATCGCACCTGGGTCTCATCAATTTTTTGTGTGCCCTCCTCCTGCACAACCCTACTTGCCTCCGAGCTCGGTCGAGTTCGACCCGAAACAGCTCAATCACTTGCAGATTTTGAGCTCAAGTAGTCCGCAGAATCCCTCCAATTCTCTTGGTCCAAGTCTCCAGTCTATAGCCCAGACCGTGAAACCCCTTCAGTACCTAAGCATGGGTCCTAAGATCATAAGCACAGGAAGTGAAAGCCAACCAGCTCGTACCAGTGATCAATTTCCTCGCAAATGAGCTGAAAACTACACCGCCCACGTCCCTACTTTTCCTTTTCTTTTCTTTTCTTTTCTTTTTCCTAAGTTGTGTTTGTGTATGTGTATGCTCTATATATAGTCGTTTTGTTGCAGAAAAAGTGAAATGTTTTGCTCAAGTTTATAAACTTGCTCTCATTTTACGAATTAAGCTTGCTTTCGTCAACTGAAAAGATTTCTGTGTTTGGCAAAATTATTTTTGTTTTTCGTTTGTTTCCAAAACATTGAGAACTACATTTTAAAGATAAGAAAAAATATCTTGGTGAGGGAAAGAAGAATGGGAATGGCAATATTTTTTGGCAACAGAAGTAAGTAGACATTTTGCAATTTGAAAACATACATGTTACCTAACAAGTCCAACGTAAAGTGATGTGAGAAGAAATTATAGCATGTCAAATACTTTAGAATGATATAAAGAATGCATAAATTGCAAAATTGGTGGGCTTATAACTACTTTCCTTTCACGGTTTGCAAGTTCATTGGTTTATATGAAATATATATAGTTAAGAGTAAACTCCAGTGATTTGGTTCTTACTTATGTGGTTGATTTCTGATGGGAAACTCTCTCTCCCTACCTCTTTCTCTCTCTCTTACTGGGAAGAATGCTCAAGTTATCATTTTGAAGCCTACCCATCTACAGAAGAGATGTTGAAAATTGGAACCTGGAATTGTAGTACAAATTTTTTATTGGGTTTTGAGTTTTTTTCGTGATTTTAATTTTTTATTTTATAAAAAGTTTAATTACGGGGGAAAAAACTCAACTTTTTTTTGTAACATTTTCCCTTTTCTTCAGCTCCTCCTTTACTGCTTTTATGCTGCTAAAGAGAAGAGGGGTTTGTACTTGCTAATGCTGTCCAACTTTGCACAAGATCCAACACAAAAAGAAATCTTAGAAACCGCAGGTTAATTAAGAGTTTTGCAGTGGAACCAAACAGAGAGAAATGGGCTGTGGTCCTTCGATGAATAAGGAGAGAGAAAAAGAAACAAAAGGCAAGCACAGCCACGATAGAAGAAGAAGAACTACTGCACAAGCTTAATTAGGGTTTTTTAGGAACTTACTGCATGTCTTTTTTCTCTGTGTACGTAGGAGATAGGGGACCGCACGAGCCAGTTTGCCTACGAGTTAATTGCCCAGCAGCTTATTTATGTTTTCTTCCCTCTAAGAAAACAAATTGGCCTGACTAGCCCAAAAAGTCCTTCAGATTATGACTTTTCTTGTTATTTTCCCCAGTAGAATGTATTTATTCATAAGATTACTCATAAACTTACATTTTTGTTGCTAGAAAGTCGTGAATTTAATGAAATAATTTCTTTATAAGATAGGAATAAGATCCATAATTTTTCTTAAATAATAATTTGTTCTTACATATTGAGACCTTCCTTTCAGTTTTTTTAGAAGGCGATGAGAAAATTGAAAGAAAACGAAATAACTAAGGGAAAGATAGGAATATAGAGTGAAATTTTTGTAAGTTGGCTTGAGAGAATTAAAAATAAGGAGAATGGAAAGATACTGCCAAAATGTTGCACGAGCATCGATCGCATCTCAATTATATAATTGTAGCTAGGTTATAGTTTTGTAGGCTGACTCGTTCTCCTCCTCCTTTGTGTTCTTGTTCGGTATAACCCTTTCTTTTTTTCATTTTTCATTTTTTTCTTTTTTTTTATGACACCCTTTTTAGGTGAGGGCTATTACCACAAAAGCCAAAAATCAAATAGAAACTTCTGGTGCTTTTCTGCAAAGAAGGTATATTTTTTTGTGTACATGCATGCATACATACATATGTGTGTATATTATAAGTCAATATTCAAATATGCTATACGCATGAGTATAAGCAGTGAAAATATCTGAACTCCTATCATTGATGATTAAATTGAAGAAGACTATGAAGAACTAAGAGTGTTTATTGGAGAGCATTCTAACTAATGATCAGTTTCACCTAACGGAGTAGTGATTTAAATTACCTTAATTAGGAACTCACTGCATATCATGCACGCGCACATATACATAAGCCATCTCTCATCAAAATAATTAGATAATTGAATAATACCAAAATCCAATTATACAACTACTAAATGGCATCTCTTAAATTAGGGTTCAAAGAATCTACTTCTTCTGAAAAAGCAAAATATTCCAATTTTCATACTTTAATTTTTTCCTTCTACCAAAAAAAGCCATATATTTGTAGAAACCTAAAACTACTTGCTCATTGTGAGCTAGTTTTGGAAAAATTGCACAATTCCTATTGCAATTTAGATTATTTATAGCCCATCGAGGGGGAGGGAAAGGGGGGGGGGGGGTAAATCTAACATAAAAGAAAAAAAATTATTAATTTCGAAGGGATTGCATATGAGAAAAATCAGACAATCATGCATACAAACCCACTAATTATCTTTTGTTCTTCAATTAATGTTCCATAATTAGCACAAATTTTCTGAGTACAAAACAAAATCTCCTTTGCTTGTAGCAAGCTATTATATATGCTATTTTGCACCATATAATTGCTGGCTTAGTTCAATGTTTACCAAGAGAACTCCATAAAGCATCACTGCATTTTTTAAATATTCAGTATTAACTATGTTAATTATGTGATTACTTAGCAAGAGGAAGCAAAAATGTGTGTGGTTGTTCTTGCATAAAGCAATGTGGTATCCAAATCTTCTAGTTTTTATAAGAGGTAAGATTATTATCTATCAACCCTAACATTGCTATTCTATGATTGAATGTTTAAAAGGCCCACATCACAAAAACAATTTTTTTTTTTAATAAAATTGGGATAAAGTTGCATGCATTCAACAATTCTTCATGCTATCATTATAATTCAATTTTTTAGCTAAAGATTATTATATAATTTTTTTTGGATATTTAGTCATAAATTATACAATAAGAGATTATATATGACGGATCGATAGTTACTAACATTAATAACTTGTTGGGTTGAACTATTGACATAAAATATTTAAACCCAACTAATTTAATGGTATATATCGCATGGTTTTATACACGAGTTGATATGAAATGAGATATCACAATTTTTTTCACTTAAACATTTGACGTTCTTGTCAAAACACAAATCCATACTAGTGTCCAAACAAAATAGATGTCATGATTCTTTGCTCTAATAACAATTATAATGATTCAAGAGTTATTGGCTCTAACAATTTGTTGAGTCTGAACTGCTAACTCAAAATAAATCGTTAGTATGAAACCATGAGATATATAAGACTCAACAGACAACTACTAAATAACTAGGTTTTAATTATTTTTAATCAATGTTTTAGATTCAATAAATTATTAGAGTTATAACTCTTAAGTTATTACCAATGTCATCAAAGCAAAAAAATCCTTGGTATCAATTCAATTTCTATTTTATTTGGATACGAATGTAAATTTGTGTGTTAAGGAGGACGTCAAATATTTGAAAAAAATTGACTCTTGATCACAATTATTTAAATGACTCTTGATAGTGTCATATTAACAAAGAAATCAATATATATAAAATAAAATAAAATACCTTTATGTCAAATGGGGGTAGATGGAATCTCTAATATCTTTTATAAACCATGAAGAGATAAGATAACAATAATAATAATAATAATAATAGTAAACAATTTAATCAATCAAAATTACGCCTTTGTTACTCACCTAAAAATATATAAAACAAATTTTGTCAAAAAGTAATTTTATAAATTAGATACGTTCAAATACATCCATCTATTTGCAAACTAAGAATACAGAACAAATAGAACTAAAAATATAGACAGAAACCAAACCAAAGCTTGAAATTTGTCACTCCCATTCCATGGACTCGCTTAGGAATTACTTTGCATGCGGGCCAGATGACACGGGAGTCGGGCGGGCCGGATGATATACCGAGTGAGACTCGCGCGGCCCATGCTCTTCTGGTTTAAATTTTTTAATTTGTTAAACCAATCCCTTAATTTTTTTAATTGTTCAATTTAGCCTCTCAACATTAATTTCGACCAATGTGATCCCTCAATTTTAATTTTATGTGAAATGTGATCATTCATATTAACTTTGGTTCGGTTGTAATGAAATGGTATTACTTAGAATCCTAAATTTAATTTTTGTATCGTATATATTGTACTATGTATATTATATGAATATATCTTATAAAAATAAAATAAAATAATTATTTTATAAACTTAAAATGCTTATTATATTGAAAGAAAATATTAAAGAACTACTTGATTCCCTCAGAAGTTAACTTTTGAAAAATTTTAAATTAAGTACTTGATTTGACATGAAAAATATTTATTTTTTAGGTGAATCAAATAATCTCTTAATTTTTTTAATATAATAAATAATTAATTTTAAGTTATAAGAATTTTAAATTTATACAAAAAAAAATATATAGTATAATTAAATTTAAAATTCAAAATTTAAAATTAACATTGATTCACTATAACCAGGCCAAAGGATAGAATCTGAATTGTGGATCCAGCCCAATAAATAATTAGGAAATAAAATAAATAACATAAACTATTAAATAAATAGAAATTATAGAAAAGGAAAACTCAGCTGGTTCACGAACTTCCGAACCGATTCTCGGCCGGTTCAAGGTACAGTGGGGAAGATAATTAAATTATCTACTTAGTTTACGATCGGTTCAAGGGTAAACCAGGCGATTCAAGGGTGAACCAACTAGTCCAATATTTAAGAAATTAAGAAAAAGTAATAAAACCACCAGTTTAGCTTATTTAAGACTAGTTCAAGATAAATCTTGGCTGGTTCAGTGGATTTAAATTCGGTTCAATGACTTTATGACCGGTTCAATGTATTTCAATGCCAATTCGGTGGGTTTAAATCCGGTTTAGTAGTTTTTAAGGCCAGTTTGAGGGATCTAAGGCCGGTTCAATGGGTTTTGTGACCGGTTTAATGGATTTCTTGCCTAGTTCAATAGTTTTATCACTGATTTAGTGGGTTTCATATTCAGTTCAATGTGTAAAAAGTTCAGTTCAGTG